GTGTGTATGTGGTGTGTGTGGTGTATGTTTGTGTGTGTGTGTGTGTGTGTGTTTGTGTGTGTGTGTGTGTGTGTGTGTGTGTGTGTGTGTGTGTGTGTGTGTGTGTGTGTTCTCCCTGTTGATGCTCCTTAACTTGAAATCCTCCCACTTGTTCTTACAGGAGAGAAACACATTTTTTGTTTTTTATTATGACATCCTTTTTTTAAAAAAATGTTATTCCAATTCTCAACCAATCCCTGCCTTTGATTTAAAGTGAAGCCAATAAAAAGAAAATGTCAAGAATGTTAAATGTTTGCCCGCTGGTTAAAGCATTTCATTCGTAAAACCTGCCGGATGCTAACATGCATATGTCGGGCATTTGCACAATGAGCACAGGTTGCATTAATTAGCAATAATTAGTAAACAGGATATTTGTTGGATTCTGCTCAAAACAATTGGCCATGGAATGAGTCCTGAGGCGACCACATGATTACCTCAACTTTGGACAAATAGATAAGCAATCTGTCCAGTACCAACGAGCCAGCGTCCTCCAAGACTTCAAAATCAGATCAAAACTCATCAAAATATACACATTTGGCCACTTTCTGGTTAAAACTGCCATTTTTGATCCTGGAAATGGCAGAAATGGCAGAAATGGCAGAAATGGCAGAAATGGACTCAGCGACCGTAATGACCCCCAAAACCACTCCAATATCGTCCATGTAGGACAAGCCATTATTCATCGATTTTCCATACAGTAGGCAATGAATGCTAATGAATGCTAATGAATGCTAATGAATGCTAATGAATGCAACTAATGCAAATTGTGCAAATTGCCCAACATATGCAGGTTAGCATTCGGCAGTTTGCTGGAGACCCTATTATACATTTATATCATAAAACGTTTGGGTACTCAACATTTCCGGGTTCACAACTGGACTCTATGAGCTGGCAAAGAGACTATTACTGATATAGGTCTACTTCAGTGTCAGTTTACTAATATATTCTCTGCTTATTTCTGCTTTGTCCCCGGTGTAAGGGTCTTTTAGGGTCTTTTAGGGTCTTTAGGGTCTTTTAGGGTCTTTTAGGGTCTTTAGGGTCTTTTAGGGTCTGTTAGGGTCTTTTAGGGTCTGTTAGGGTCTTGTTAGGGTCTTTAGGGTCTTTAGGGTCTTTTAGGGTCTTTTAGGGTCTGTTAGGGTATTGTTAGGGTCTTTAGGGTATTTTATGGTCTTTTAGGGTCTTTTAGGGTCTTTAGGGTATTTTAGGGTCTGTTAGGGTCTTGTTAGGGTCTTTAGGGTCTTTTAGGGTCTTTTAGGGTCTTTAGGGTCTTTAAGGGTCTTTTAGGGTCTTTTAGGGTCTTTTAGGGTCTGTTAGGGTCTTTTAGGGTATTTTAGGGTCTTTAGGGTCTTTTAGGGTCTTTAGGGTCTGTTAGGGTCTTTTAGGGTCTGTTAGGGTCTTTTAGGGTCTTTAGGGTCTTTTAGGGTCTTTAGGGTCTTTAGGGTCTTTTAGGGTCTTTAGGGTCTTTTAGGGTCTTTAGGGTCTTTTAGGGTCTGTTAGGGTCTTGTTAGGGTCTTTAGGGTCTTTAGGGTCTTTAGGGTCTTTTAGGGTCTGTTAGGGTCTTGTTAGGGTCTTTAGGGTCTTTTAGGGTCTTTTAGGGTCTTTAGGGTCTTTTAGGGTCTTTTAGGGTCTTTAGGGTCTTTTAGAGTCTTTAGGGTCTTTAGGGTCTTGTTAGGGTCTTATTAGGGTCTTTTAGGGTCTTGTTAGGGTCTTGTTCAAGGTTCAAGGCTTTTATTCGTTGTACGTACATAGCTACAGTATAGTTATGACGATGAAAATCTTAGGTCACAGGCTCCTTTTTTAGGGTCTTTTAGGGTCTTTTGATGGTCTTGTGAGGGTCTTGTTTTCACTGACCTTGCGGATGCCCTCTGACGGGCTGGACACGGAGAAGTCCTGCCCGTTGTTGCGGCTGAGCGTCCTCCACAGCTCTGCGTACGTGCTGTCCTGCTCCAGAGGGTTCGTGCCTTTGTTCCGGAAGTAATCGTAGACCGCCGAGTCCCGAACCGTGCCGTAATCCACCTCCATCTGACGGGCCAGGTCCTGGAACGACCTGGAAACACAAGCAGGAGATGTAAACAAGTGTAGGGACGGAAACTAGAAGACTAAGTTCAATCAATGTAGTATTTTGGGACACATATACGGTACGATTGTTAAAATGTCTAGCTCCGTAGATGATGACAGTGTCAGATTAATTAGATCTGTCATCAGATCCTCCTTCGCACTCTCCAAGAACTTGGAGTTTCAGGCTCTGCACTTTCCCTCCTCACCTCATACCTCAAAGACCGCACCTACAGGGTTACTTGGAGAGGGTATAAGTCCGACCCTTGTCAATTAACTACAGGGGTCCCTCAGGGCTCTGTTCTTGGTCCCCTCCTCTTCTCCCTGTACACAAACTCGCTCGGATCAGTCATTAGCCCGCATGGTTTTTCTTACCACTGCTACGCTGACGACACCCAATTAATTCTGTCCTTTCCCCGCTCAGAGACCCAGGTCGTTGCACGCATCTCTGCTTGTCTAGCTGACATCTCTCAGTGGATGTCTGCTCACCACCTCAAGCTCAACCTTGACAAGACTGAGCTGCTTTTCCTTCCCGGAAAAGATTGTCCCACTCTTGACCTAACAATCAACATCGGCACCTCAGTTGTTTCCCCGACTCAGACTGCAAGGAATCTGGGTGTGATCCTAGATAACAACCTGTCCTTCACTGCAAACATCGCTGCTACAACCCGTTGCTGCAGATACACGCTTTACAACATCAGGAAGATACGTCCCCAGCTGACCCAGAAAGCGACTCAGGTTCTGGTCCAGGCTCTCGTCATCTCACGCCTAGACTACTGCAACTCCCTCCTGGCTGGTCTCCCTGCATGTGCCATCCGACCTCTGCAGCTCATCCAGAATGCAGCGGCTCGTCTGGTCTTCAACCTTCCAACATTTTCCCACACCACTCCGCTCCTCCGCTCCCTTCACTGGCTTCCGGTAACTGCTAGAATCCACTTCAAGACACTGGTACTTGCGTACCATGCTGCTAATGGATCTGGCCCTTCCTACATCCAGGACATGGTTAAACCGTACACCCCAGCACGTGCACTCCGCTCTGCATCAGCCAAACAGCTCGCTGCACCCTCGCTGCGAGGGGGACCCAAGTTCCCATCAGCAAAAACACGTGGGTTTGCTGTCCTGGCTCCAAAATGGTGGAATGAGCTCCCCATTGACATCAGGACGGCAGAAAGCTTACACATCTTCCAGACTGAAAACTCATCTCTTTCGACTCCACTTCGAGCGTTAGAACTATTAACGAAGCACTTTTATACTAATAAAGGACTGGCTTACCTAAAGCCAGTTGAGTAGCACTTGAAATGTTTGGCTCTATGAAACCTGATGTACTTTATGATTCTGTTTTCTTCAAGGTTGTATTTTGTTGGTCGAATGTACTTATTGTAAGTCGCTTTGGATAAAAGCGTCAGCTAAATGCAATGTAATGTAATGTAATGTGTAGTGTTATATATATATATATATTATTTATATATATATATATATATATATATATTAGGGCTGTCAAGTTAACGCGTTAACGCAAAAAAAAATTAACGCCACTAATTATTTGAACGCGATTAACGCATGTGTATTTTTTTCCTCGGCCGCCCCGTAGTTTCAGAGCGCATCGAGTTTAAAATACCATCTACAAGCTGATGCTGACAGCCCCGCTCCTGTCGCCCACTTGTGGCAGACCACACTTCCACGCTCACCGGCAGGCACCGACTGGCCATCTGGAGGACCGGGAGGGTGTGTGTGTGGCTCGAGCGAGCGAGAGAGAGACCGTACGTGCATTGTTGTTGTTAGCATCTGGTGCTAGCTAGCTGCTCTAACGGATATAAGGAGCTGTTTAAATGAAAACAGAGGAGCGATATTTCGCCGACAACTGCGCCGAGCACTTGACTTTATGCAGGAAGCCAGACAGCGGGACATTGTACGAGAAGTCAGCACACTCAGCACGGATAGTGCAACATGATTGCAGCGTCCAGGCAGCTCCCGTTCGAGCATATGCCTTGAGTTGCACATAGCTCCAACGATCCATCCCACACACACACACACACACACACACACACACACACACACACACACACACACACACCCACACACACACACACACACACACACATTGTATTAGGTTCCAAGTTGAATTGAGGCGAATATTTGTAATGTTCACAGGTTGTTGTGTTTAATATTCATGAGAATATTTGTCATTGTTCAAATGATAATAAACATTAGCATAAAGCATATTTGTCCACTCATATGTTGATAAGAGTATTAAAAACTTGAAAAATATTCATCTAAGGTACATTTAGAACAGATAAAAAATGTGCGATTAATTTGCGATTAATCGCGATTAACTATTTTAATCGACTGACTGCCCTAATATATATATATATAAAGATATTTTGAAAAAAAACAAAAAACGAAAGAAATGCTTTAAAATAACAACGTATAAAATAATAATAATATAAATAAAAATTCTTACTACTATAAACAAAGTAAAAAAAGAAGAAGTAATTTATTATTTTACCAATGTTTAATCAGGTAAATACAAAATATAATATAAATAGGAAACTAATCAGTTTGTTAAATACTTGTCTTGCAATGAAATGATTCAAAGGTTGTCCATGATAAACAAAGAACACGTGTCTCCTTGTGAGTATGCTAATATGCCAATATGCTAATGCCAGGGGATTTTAACAGACAGGTGAGACATCAAGAAATATTTTAATTAAAACCTGCTCTGTTTGAACTTCACACGGTCGGTCACATGATGTTTGATCAAATTAAATATTACATTAATGTGTCGCAAGGCTTTAATCAGATAATGCAGGACACACACACACACACACACACACACACACACACACACACACACACACACACACACACACACACACACACACACACACACACACACACATACACACACACACACACAAGGAATAATTGGATTTAACAGCGAACCGACGTATGGAATATAATTTATATAATGTAATCAGCGTGGATCATCAGCGGGCATTTATTATTTTAATTTAATTAGTATTCATCTGCAGGTGGTTTTATATTATTTTATATATATTATTTTCTTCCTGGTCTTTGGAGGTTGAGTTCCAGTTTGTCTGCGGGATTATGTATAATTGTTTTAATGACATTTGGTGGAAGTGTGCAACCTGATGTTAGGAATAGTGTTCATTTCGTTGACTAAAAGTGTGACGAAATATGTTCGTCAACGACCTTTTTTGTCATGACTGAGACGAGACGATGACGAGACGGCACCGACGCCAGTAAACAATAACTGTAACCATATCAACATGCAATACCGTTGACGAAAAAATTACGAGACGTAAATGTAGTTTACTAAATTTGGATAAGATATCATCTTATTGCGAAATAAGTTTCACTAAAATGACAAATGATTGGTTTTGGCTAGACTTTTGACTGAAATGTTTTTCAGCACTTCAGGGCCACCGTACTGATGACTAAAACATACTAAAATGTCAACAGTTTTCATTAACAAAAGGTGGACTAAAATAGTTAGTTTTCTTTGACTAAAATGCTCAGACTTTTAGTCGACTAAAACTTGACTAAATTAAAACAGGATGAAAACCTCCTGCAGTCTGGATCTGGAAAACAAAGACATGTGGAAAACAAAGACGTGAACATGGGAGGATAGTACACGTGTAAAATAAGGAGGTGGAAGTCCCTCAGAATGAAACGTCTCAAACGCGTTAAAGACGTTGAAATCTCATATCAATCTACATGCATCGGACGTCTATACACACGCCGTCTCGCTCTCGCATTCGCTCTGAACGCATCAACACGCTGATGGAAGTGTCGGATCGGATTTGATCCTGAGACGAGGAAATAGATGGAAGGGGAAGGAGGACGAGTGGCTTTCGATGGGAGATAACATTATTTATTCATACCCAAGATACATTGGCAAAAAGAAACAAGTGGATGTTGACTGTGATGGTGCATTCAACGCGGAGAGGAAATGCATTGAAGACGCTGATCAAGAGATGACTGCGTCTGTTATGTTCTGATCGTGCTGCGTGGAAATGAAAAGTCCTGACCTTTAACAGCGTGAAGAAGAGAAGCTGCAGGAGGCAAAGCAGCGCCTGACACTGAGAGGCTGTTTAATGGAACAACAGGAAGGAATGGTTTAAAGAACTGATGCAAAACCAGACAAAGAGCACAGAGGAAATGTTATAAAGGAACTGCGTAGAAAGAAAGACAATCTGAACCTGACGCTGGAAACATTCAAATCAGAATGTATGAGATTTTGATAAAAAGTCAGAATTTGGACATTTTGAGGAAAAAAAGTCAGTTAGAATTTTGAAAAAAAAGTTAGAATTTTAAGATTTTCTGAGAAAAGGTCAAAATGTTCAGATTTTCAGACAAAGGTCCAAGTTATGAGAAATTGATAATTCTGACTTTGAATGTTAGAAGCGTAACGTTTTTGTCTACGACTGCATTCAAAGATTTTTCAAGATTTTTTTATAGAAAAAAGTCAGGAATCTAAGAAAAAATTCATCTGACTTTTTTTTATCAATTTCTCATAACTTGGTCTGAAAATCTGAAAATGTTGACTTTTTCTCAGAAAATCTCAATTCTAACTTTTTTTTTTCAAAATGTTTTTCTTATAATCATGTCTTTTTTTTTTTTACTTTCTAGAAAAAAATGTAGACAAATATTTGAATGTAGACAAAAACGTTACACTTCTACAACTGCAATAGATTAAAAACAGACGGATCTCTGCAGTTATTGCACTCCCTAATTGTAAAGTTTATCAGTTGTTTTGTACTTTTATTGTTATGCGTTGAATAAAATATGGAATACGATTAAAACACGTGCATTGAATCGAGGATAAAAAAGGCACTAGAGCACCATATGTGTATTAATCCAGGAACAGTTTGCATTCATGAGCAGATGTCTATGAAGTATTTTCTCGTGTATTATTATTATAACTGCAGTCTCCAAACTTTAAACTTATACACGTGTTGACAACAGATGTTCTTTAAAACAGACTTTAACCCTGATCAACATTTACACATGTATTAGATCTACTTTTAGTAACTGCAATGTTTTAGTTTTCCAATCTTTTGTTATAAACAAGCGATTTGGATGAATTTTTAAGATGATTTTGAGTTGTTTTAACTGCTTACTTGTATTTCTGAAAGTCTGTTTAGCAGAGAGAGAAGGATCTGTGAATGTTTATACCTCTTTAATCACTATTCAAACAAATATAAAAGAAAACACTTTGTTTTTTAGATATAGACTTACTGTTTGTAAACTTGTCAGAAAAAGTTTGAAATGTCAGTTTTTGGCTCATATCTTGTTTATTTTTGATCTGTTCACATCATGCAGCAAATCAATGGAAAGCCTGTTTATAAATACTAAATACTAATACGTCTCATCATGTGGGCTCAGAGTTAAAGGTCCCGGACATTTCTCCTGATCAGAGTTCCATTAGTTTCGTTTATTTATTTTTTTCGAGCGTGTAAAACCAAAGAAAATACAAATGAAACAAAAGATGATACAGACATGATACAGTACTATACAAATGAATGCAATAACAAAACGAATATTTAATTAATAATTGAATAATCTGTAGTATCATTGACTGATAACAATAAACAACAAAGCTTTAGCTTTAATTACACGTCCGAAAAGGAAGAAGTTTACACTTATTTAATCCGATCCCTTTGTTTTTACATATTTTTTTTTCTTTTTACATCTTAATATATGTTAACATGCAATATCAATGTATACTTTAACCTTGAATAATTTATATAATCATTCATATAATATATACAGGCAAGTTAATAGAATGGTTTCTATATATTTATATATATATACATATATATCAGGGCTGTCAAGTTAACGCGTTAATAAAAAAAAATTAACGCCACTAATTATTTTAACGCGATTAACGCATGTGTATTTTTCCCCCCGTAGTTTCAGAGCGCATCGAGTTTAAAATACCATCTACAAGCTGAAGCTGACGCTCCACCGGCAGGCACCGACTGGCCATCGGGAGGACCGGGAGGGTGTATGTGTGGCTCGAGCGAGAGAGAGACCTTACGTGCATTGTTGTTGTTAGCATCTGGTGCTAGCTAGCTGCGCTAACGGATATAAGGAGCTGTTTCAATGAAAACAGAGGAGCGACATTTTGCCACAACTGCGCCGAGCACTTGACTTTATGCAGGAAGCCAGACAGTGGGCACACACACACACATACACACACACACACACACACACACACACACACACACACACACACACACACACACACACACACACACACACACACACTCACACTCACACACACACACACACACCATTTGTATTGTATTATTGAATGAGAGGTTCCAGGTTGTTGTGTTTAATATTCATGAGAATATTTGTCATTGTTCAAATGATAATAAACATTAGCATAAAGCATATTTGTCCACTCATATGTTGATAAGAGTATTAAAAACTTGAAAAATATTCCTCTAAGGTACATTTAGAACAGATAAAAAATGTGCGATTAATCGCGATTAAATATTTGAATCGACTGACAGCCGTGTCCCGCTGTCTCAGGCTGCGAAATCCGCGGAGCTGCAGCTGAGAAAAATAGGGCTTAGTGAGTGTGTGTGAGGAAGCCCTTACGTCACGTGGTACCCGGAAGAAAAAGAGAAACCTCCAAGGAGGCGTTCTGGGGCAGCACAGACAGGTCTTCTCTGTGTCAGAGTGTTACTCGCTACAGGGTGCACTCTGAGGGGTTGAGACTCTGCAGAGCGTTCACATGCAGAAGCTACAGAACACAAGGGGACGGGTCAGAACCAGAGAAGCATGACATGGGACCTTTAAAATGTGGATTCCTTCCTCCAGAAATCCCCGGTTACATCCTCTAAAGTTCACACACAGAAATGCATGAAACTGTGCATGAATTGCAAATAGAGTTCAAACCTCCTCGTCTCCTGCAGTTTGTTCTCCAGTAAAAACAGGAGGGTTGAATGTTAGAAACTCTCAGCGTTTGGATCGCACACTCTCTGCTTCTCCAATAAACACTTGAACTCTGAAGCGCTGGTGTCAAGTTTTAACGGAGAAATATGCAGGTGTGGAAACTTCACATCGACATCAGCTCCACTACAGCCTGAACTTCTGTCGGATTACAGAGGGTTTAGCGATATAACATATTTTCCCGCTGAAATATCACAATATTAACCATTGGACCTTTAATGAACTAAAGGAATATCAACACATTAATGTAGGCAACTCCTCTGATGGTCAAATCTGAGTGAAAGTTGTTGTTTCTGCCAAAAAATGGAATCTAACACAATCACAACAGATAGACCAGCTAACCAATCAGAGCAGCTCTGGTTTCAGACAGAGGGTGAAAAGAGGTGCTGCAGCACAGGCAGTGTGAGAACAATACAGAGCTTTCTGAACATTACAACATGGAGAGCTCCAGAATAATGATGTGTTAAAGTCTGAGCTGCATGTGGACAGAAAACGGACAACATGTTCTCTCCTAATAAAGTAGCACACAGTCTGATCAGGTCTATTTAAACGTTAATGCTTCAGAGTGTCCTCAACGTGTTTGTCCATGAACTCCTGGGGTGAACTGGGGTGATTTAAGGTTGAAAACATAAATAATAAAGACCAAGAGGACGGTGATATTCTAAAAAAAGCTATTTTCCTTTCTGAGAAAAGATTCGAAAAACAGACAGGAGATGAATGAGCTGGCTCCAAACATTTTGGTTTGTAAAGATAGTGGGACATGACCCTAAAGTGACACCTTCACAATGTTTGGTCCAAACCTCAACATTGTTACTAAAAAATAAACGTTACAAACATTATAGGCCTATAGGAGGAAAAAAGGCAAATCTGGAATCATCAATTGTTATTTTTATACCCAACAATTATCTTAAAAGCTGCTTTCAGTCAAACTATGATCACTTTATCCGTGAAGTAACTACAGCTGTGTGTGTGTGTGTGTGTGTGTGTGTGTGTGTGTGTGTGTGTGTGTGTGTGTGTGTGTGTGTGTTACCGTATAGCGTGGTCCATGCGGGACACGGTGAGGTACGCTGCCAGGTTGGCGGTGTACGACGAACACACGATGAGCGTGAAGAGCCACCAGCTGCCCATCACGATCCTGAGAGCCACTGAGCCAATCACAGAGTCCCCTCCTACACACACACAAATAGAAGACACACACAAACACACACACACACACACACACACACACACACACACGCACACACACACACACACACACACACACACACACACACACACACACCGTAAATAACCGTGCAATATATACATCTACATTTATTACTTATCACATTACTTTCAACATGCTACACTAATGTATTTTAAATACTTGTACTGGTCCTGGATGTGTATCGAGTAAATTGTAATTTCTGCTTTTATCTTATATATTTTATGAATGAGTCTTCATTAATATTTCGCTATACGTAGCCTCTTTTCCTTTTCTGTCAGAATGTAAATCCAGTCAGACATTTGGAAAAACTTGAAGATGTTTCTCCAGTCTCCTGACTTGTTTTTATTTACCAAAATAATGCCTTGAATGTCCTTTAGTACCAAAAGTGTCTTTTTTAAATGTCCCCACTAAAATGTCCTAACTTTCAAAATAAAATCCCACTTTCAAAATATCCTCTGCACTTTTTAAAACACAACCGCCAATTCTAAAACTGTCCCTTCCTTGAAATGTCTTTCTTTTCTGAAAAATCCAGTATGTTTTCAAAATGTCCCATTCTGTGGGAGGGACAAAGCTCTTCTGATTCTGATTTAACTCCAGCCGTGATTTACAAATGTGTTCAGAGTGTTTCCAGAGAGTCCAGCTCCAGGTGTGTGTTCCTTTGACCTCTCAGGTACGGGTCGCTCTCAGTGGAAACACCTGATCCATCAGCAGGTGAGCGCCAGGCTTTAGCACTGCAAACGGAGCTAATCACATCCTGTTCGCACTAAAAGGTTTCCCAGGCAACCTGCCAGACCATAATAGGTGCAGCTGGGAAAGTGTTTTTTGTGTGTGTGTGTGTTCATGCTGGAGTGTGTTCTCATGGGTCCACCTGTGCATGTGGACGTGGAAACACATATTTCAGTGTGTGTGTGTTCTTGTATTCCTATCATTGTGAGAACCCATAAAAAAGAGGATATTTTGAGGACAGTCTTGTGGACAGTCTTTTAACATTTTTTTAAGTTTGGGGATGTCTGTAAATAATATTTAAGTTGAGTTACAATCAGCTTTTCTTTGCCATTTGTTTTAGTTTGTTTTTTAAGATCACAAACAAGGTTTCTCCCGCCATATACTTTCGCCCTGTAGGGGGATATTTTGAAGGGCGATTTTTTACAAGTTAGGAAAACTTTGCAAATTGGAGTGAACAAAAAACAGAGGTTATTAAAAACAACAGGGACATTTTGGGAAATTAAATATATTTTTGAAAAGCAAGGACTTTTTGGAAGGTGAGAAAACATGTGGAGCATATCAACAAAACAAAAGAAATACAAAATATGTGTTACACTATTATAAATTGTTCTTTTTTTAAGTACGTAAGGAAAGAAGCTTTGGAAGGTGAGTTTAAGGTAATTGTTGTGTTTTCAAGCTATTTGTGTTAAAAGTTATGAAACATAAAGAACATTTAAGAAAGTGTATGTGAATTTCTGTTATTATTTAAAGATGAATGTTTTTCACTGTTATATTAAACCTGACATGTAACTGCAGTTTGTCTTCATCTCTATCTACAAACATTACCACACAAAGACCTCCATTTGTTCCTCACAGTGACATTTCCTGCATGATCTAATCCTCCTCCTAATTCACTTAAGCACTTTAAAGTTGGATGTGCTTCTTACTAAATATTTCAGATGCTGCCGTTAATCCTCCTGTGCTTTTTGTTTGCCTCTCGTGTTGTTGTGTAATCCGTCAAACAGAAATCCCTCTTTAGATAATCTTCCCTTTCGCTGCGATCCGAGCTGATTGATTTCAGACAGAGAGCCGAGTTTAACTCTGAGAACATTTCAGACGTTTGACTTTCAGAGGAAGTTTGTATTCCAGCAGAATTACACGCATTACAAACTGAGAATCAGGAAACTCTAGACTTCCCATGAACAGAACAACAACACTAATATCATTTAGAAGCTGCAGACTTTATGCTTTAACTGAATTATAGCCTGATTATATCTGCAGGTTAACGTTTACCAAGGTTGTTCTTTGCTGGGACTTTTCTACACATTTCTGCAGGAAACTAACTTTTTAAAACGGCACAGCTTCTCAGATTTAAAATTCCAATATACTGGACATTTCTCATTTTTAATTAATTTCCTTTTTTTGCACATTCATATTTATTTTAGCATTTTTTTGCTTTTTATTTTATAGTAGTTTTCACTATAGTTCTATATTTTCTCTTATTTAATAACTTGTGTAAACTTAGTTGCCAATAGACCTGACTCCGACAGTGAGAAACATATCGAATTTTTAAACAACTGTCTCGGATAAGTGATGACATCTTTGCTCAAATTCAATGCAGCCAAGATGAATAAAGCTACTGTGTTGAATTCATGAAATAACTTGCATACATACTTGATTTTGCATTTGAAAGTAAAGCGGGAAATTACATTAGACGTGCAGAAGAAAGGAGTTTATTTTGAAATGGAAAGGACATGTGTATCTTGTTGCAATATGTTGTGCATTTTTTCTTAGAGATCTGAACCTATATAACACAGGAAAGGGAAAAACCAAAGAAATCATATTTGGGCCCCTTTAACACTATTTGCATTATGTTCCCCTCTCACCTTGATGAACGAACGCTCCGTAGACGATCCACACGGCGCTCTGCAGCGAGCCTGAACCCACCACGCCATTGGCCGGTTGTCCTTGTGGTGCATTCTGGGTAGCGGAGGAGCGTAGCGCCTGCAGGCGGTTCAGCAGGAAGATGAGCACGCCCACCACTGGGATGGCGGCGGCGATACAGGCCCACACGGCGAGGTCAAAGGGCGCGAAGAGAGAAAAGATGTTGATCTTCTCCTCCGGTTTCCTCAGCAGAATCCCCACGCTGTAGTCCAGGTAACGTTTACTGAAGTCCACCACGTTCTCACGCTCAGGGGTGATGGTGATGGCCGACACCGCAAGATCCGCCCTCTAAAGGAGGAGGAGGAGGAGGAGAGCCAATCAGAGGCAAGAAGCAGGGACAATATAAAACAGGACTTTCAGTTTCCTGTGTCTTAGCCATCAGTGGAATTACAAACTTAAGGGGTCCTAAAAGCAGTATTTACTTCTACAATATCAAACTGAGAAAATCAGCAGATCTCCAGGTTTGAGAGGCTGGAAATGGCAACTGGACTGTACTTATAAATATCGTTATCAAGTCTTTATGACACCTCAAAGCTCTTTACACACTACGAGTCATTCACCCACTTGCAGCACCACTTGCACACACACTCACACACCGTTGGCCATCGGGAGGAACTCAGGGTTCAGTATCTTGAGACTTTTTGGCATGCAAACCTACATAGATTATGAGATCTAGTTTTTACTTACTCCCTGTTTAGTACTTAATTACTTTTGGTTTTTACCTTGTTAATGAGATCTCCAATCATTCCGTTCCACGAGCCGTTGGGAAGCTGAGATCCATATTTACTGTCAGACACCTGCAGGACAGATCAATAAAGTTTATTCAGTTCATCTCAACAAGTCAGGACTTCGGTTCAACCAAAATCCTGACATCCCAATGAAGATCAACAATCGATCTTCAACGTGCCTCATGGCCTCTGTACAATACAGGTTTTGTTTCAAAGTGACACACAGAATTCACCGTCCAATCAAAAGCTTTGACAAAGACAGTGTGATATCATCTAAAGTGACTCCTGTGTGATCCAACCCTTCCTTCCCACCTGGTAGATCTCGTATTTGAAGCCGAGGATCTTGGCGAGTGCGTCGAGGACATCGATGGAGAATCCTTTGTATGTCTTGGGCTGACCCAGGATGTTTTCTGCCACCATCACGAAGGGATCCTCCTAAAGGGACACACAGGAACAGGCATTTACTGACATGGTTACATAAAATACAAAGATGACTTCTCATGTGGTCATGTTTACTTTTAAAGATGGTGCAATACAGTTTAAAGCTGCACAGGAAGTGTGTGTGTGTGTGTGTGTGTGTGTGTGTGTGTGTGTGTGTGTGTGTGTGTGTGTGTGTGTGTGTGTGTGTGTGTGTGTGTGTGTGTGTGTGTGTGTGTGTGTGTGTGTGTGTGTGTGTGTGTGTGTGTGTGTGTGTGTGTGTGTGCAGGATGAAGGTTTTAGTCGTGCTCTGTTTGTATCTGTTAGACTAATCTCTGTCCGGAGGCAAGCTGCGGACCAACGCCTCCAGAGAAATAAAATAAAGTGAAATAAAATAAAGTAAGGGGGAAACTTTTAGAACGCAGACGGAAATAAAACCTCAGCTTCTTTATTGACAGGATTTCAGTGTGAAGCTACTGGAGTGTGTGCAGTGCTGCGGAGTGTGAGATTATTTTATTACATCAATAATTGGAGGTTTTTAAAGGACTGACGGGGGAGCACACACACACACATGCACACACACACGCACACACACACACACGCACGCACACACACACACACGCACGCACACCACACACACACCACACACGTCTATTTCTGAAGTTTTCAAACTATTCTCTAACTCTAACGTTAAACTTGTTTAGTAGGATTGTGGAAGTATGTTTGGTGTTGCACATTCATGTTATTTGAGGGAGGAATTGTTATGCTTTAAAAGTCCCCTATTATACTGTTTCTCATCAGTATACCACAGCTCTCAGATATATCCAGAGCCTGTCTCTGATCATTGCAGCATTACCCATAATCCCCTATGTTTCAGCCCTGTTTCCAAAGTGCTGATTCTCTGTCTGTTACTTTAGATGAAAGTAAGGAGCCCCTCCCCACGCCCCTCTGAGAGACATTTGGTTACAAAGAACTCAATGGTGCTCTAGGAGGAGATTCAGGTGATAAGGGGGGGGGGGGTTACCTTGGTGCTGATTGGCTAATGGTTACACAAGACAACACATCGTTATGACATCATCAAGTGGCCAAAATCTGATCAGCTCATTTTCAGACAGGTTTTTATAGAAATGATCAAAAAGAGAGAGAATCTTTGTTCCTGAACCTTTCAGAGTCTCTTTCCACAGAGGGGACACATGTTGATGAAGAAGAGACATGAAGAAGAGGGGACACATGTTGATGTAGAAGAGACATGAAGAAGAGGGGACACATGTTGATGTAGAAGAGACATGAAGAAGAGGGGACACATGTTGATGTAGAAGAGACATGAAGAAGAGGGGACACATGTTGATGTAGAAGAGACATGGAGAAGAGGGGACACATGTTGATGTAGAAGAGACATGAAGAAGAGGGGACACATGTTGATGTAGAAGAGACATGAAGAAGAGGGGACACATGTTGATGTAGAAGAGACATGAAGAAGAGGAGACACATGTTGATGTAGAAGAGACATGAAGAAGAGGGGACACATGTTGATGTAGAAGAGACATGAAGAAGAGGGGACACATGTTGATGTAGAAGAGACATGAGGAAGAGGGGACACATGTTGATGTAGAAGAGACATGAAGAAGAGGGGACACATGTTGATGTAGAAGAGACATGAAGAAGAGGGGACACATGTTGATGTAGAAGAGACATGAAGAAGAGGGGACACATGTTGATGTAGAAGAGACATGAGGAAGAGGGGGACACATGTTGATGTAGAAGAGACATGAAGAAGAGGGGACACATGTTGATGTAGAAGAGACATGAAGAAGAGGGGACACATGGTGATGTAGAAGAGACATGGAGAAGAGGGGACACATGTTGATGTAGAAGAGACATGAACAAGAGGGGACACATGTTGATGTAGAAGAGACATGAAGAAGAGGGGACACATGTTGATGTAGAAGAGACATGAAGAAGAGGGGACACATGTTGATGTAGAAGAGACATGAAGAAGAGGGGACACATGTTGATGTAGAAGAGACATGAAGAAGAGGGGACACATGTTGATGTAGAAGAGACATGAAGAAGAGGGGACACATGTTGATGTAGAAGAGACATGAAGAAGAGGGGACACATGTTGATGAAGAAGAGACATGATGAAGAGGGGACACATGTTGATGTAGAAGAGACATGAAGAAGAGGGGACACATGTTGATGTAGAAGAGACATGAACAAGAGGGGACACATGTTGATGTAGAAGAGACATGAAGAAGAGGGGACACATGTTGATGTAGAAGAGACATGAAGAAGAGGGGACACATGTTGATGTAGAAGAGACATGGAGAAGAGGGGACACATGTTGATGTAGAAGAGACATGAAGAAGAGGGGACACATGTTGATGTAGAAGAGACATGAAGAAGAGGGGACACATGTTGATGTAGAAGAGACATGAAGAAGAGGGGACACATGTTGATGTAGAAGAGACATGGAGAAGAGGGGACACATGTTGATGTAGAAGAGACATGAAGAAGAGGGGACACATGTTGATGTAGAAGAGACATGAGGAAGAGGGGACACATGTTGATGTAGAAGAGACATGAAGAAGAGGGGACACATGTTGATGTAGAAGAGACATGAAGAAGAGGGGACACATGTTGATGTAGAAGAGACATGAAGAAGAGGGGACACATGTTGATGTAGAAGAGACATGGAGAAGAGGGGACACATGTTGATGTAGAAGAGACATGAACAAGAGGGGACACATGTTGATGTAGAAGAGACATGAAGAAGAGGGGACACATGTTGATGTAGAAGAGACATGAAGAAGAGGGGACACATGTTGATGTAGAAGAGACATGAAGAAGAGCATGTTGATGTAGAAGAGACATGAAGAAGAGGGGACACATGTTGATTTAGAAGAGTGTCTGGATGTGAATAAATACAGAGTAATAATAAACGTACCAGCAGAGTGACCACTTTCACGGTGACTCCCTGCATCCCGTTCTCTATCCGACTTTCCTTCAGACTGCCATTCAGACCATGAACTGAGTCCCAGGTAGCAAGCTGAGGAGGAGGAGGAGGAGGAGGAGGAGGAGGAGGAGGAGGAGGAGGAGGAGGAGGAGGAGGAGGAGGAGGAGGAGGAGGAGGAGGAGGAGGAGGAGGAGGAAGAGGAGAAGAAGAGGATTTAATATGACTATCAAAGCATTTCTTTACCAGTAAAAAACGATCATGACAGATCTTCGTGTGTCTTGAAAAGCGCTATATCAATTAAATGTATTTATTATGATGGATATATTTGTTAAGGTGTATCCGTCATGGCAACTGCTCTTCACCAATCTTTCAATCGTATTTATGACATATATTTTTGTAACAACGGACAATAGTGTAACAATCATTTCTAGCATTGTTTGTGTAAATTATTTAAATAATATTTTTGTCTTTTAAAGTTTTGTTTGTGTTTATGGGGAAGCATCTGAAAAGATAGAGCATCCACACCCACGCTCACACTGTAACATAAGAAGTGTGTGTGTGTGTGTGTGTGTGTCTGTGTCTCTGTGTGTGTGTGTGTGTCTGTGTCTCTGTGTGTGTGTGTGTGCGTGTGTGTGTGTCTGTGTATGTGTGTGTGTGTGTATGTGTGTGTGTGTGTGTGTGCATGTCTGTGTCTCTGTGTGTGTGTGCATGTGTCTGTGTCTCTCTCTGTGTGTGTGTGTGTGTGTGTGTGTGTGTGTGTGTCGGTGTCTCTGTGTGTATGTGTGTCTATATGTGTGTGTGTGTGTCTTTGTCTCTGTGTGTGTGTGTGGGTGTATGTGTGTGTATGTGTGTGTGTGTGTCTATGTGTGTGTGTGTGTGTCTTTGTCTCTGTGTGTGTGTGTGTGGGTGTATATGTGTGTGTGTGTGTGTGTGTGTGTGTGTGTGGGTCTGTGTATGTATGTGTGTGTGTTTGTGTATGTGTGTGTCCCTGTGTGTGTGTGTGTGCGTGTGTCTATGTGTATGTCTCTGTGTGTGTGTGTGTGTGTGTGTCTCTGTGTGTGTGTATGCCTGTCTCTGTGTGTGTGTGTGTGTGTGTGTGTGTGTGTGTGTGTGTGTGTGTGTGGAGAAGTGTGTGTGTGAGCGTGTGTGGATAAGTGTGTGTGTGTGTGTGTCTCTGTGTGTGTGTGTGTGTGTGTGCGTGTGTGTGTGTGTGTGCGTGTGTGTGTGTGTGTGTGTGTGTGTGTGTGTGTGTGTGTGTGTGTGTGTGTGTGTGTGTGAGGAAACAAAGCAACAGGCAGAGGAACCGTCATTAAACCGACGCCTCGCAGCTCTCAGGATTCACACGTCCCAGAGCGGACAAAGACACGAGTACAGTGAGTACAGCGAGTACAGCGAGTACAGCGATTACAGCACGTCTGCAGCCAGGAGCACAAAGAGAGCCTGACCTAATTAGGGCCAGGAAATAAAACATCATGAAGAATCGCAGTGTCTCTGAAAGGCATTGTGAGTTCACTCCCTTCACACACAATGAGAACATGTGTGTGTGTGTGTGTGTGTGTGTGTGTGTGTGTGTGTGTGTGTGTGTGTGTGTGTGTTTAATGTCCTCACACATATTTCCCTCCCCTCTTCACAGGTGAATGGATCCCAGTGATGTAACTGAGGAGTAATTACTAATTATTGCTGACCAGGGAACAAAGAAAGGACCTCAACATATCCAAACTTGTGTGCAGATGTGCTGTTGTACTGTCCACCGAAGCTTATATAGACAATACAGAAACACTAGAGCCCATAATAACCTAGAAACACATGAATCCACATGAACAGATAATACAAGAGCAGAGAAACAACTTTTATTGTAAAATGTATATTTGAAGGATCTTTTGAATCTCAAATATTAAAAGTAGAGGTGAGCTAATGATGATTCCCGCCTGGTCGCAATTGGATGCAAAAAAGGATTCAAATAATAATAATAATAAAAGCTGCAAGCAGCGTTGAGCGGGTCTTTGACGTTCCGCAGGCTGTTGTCCGCACGTCGACGTCAGGCAGATGTCTCGAGGACTCGGCCGTTGGCAAACGTGGGAAGTTTCAGGCCGATCGGACAATGTCTTTGAGTTACAGCAGTAACACAAACGTTGTGTTTGATGGCTGGTGATCTGTCGCCATGGCAACGGCATATGATGACATCCCATAATATGCTTAGATGTGTTGAGGGCTGCATCGTTATCAAACCTGTGAAGTTTTGTGCCGTGTGGAGCATGTTAACTGGAGTTATGAGAAAACCGTGTTTCACGGCGACCATTTTGTTACCATAGCAACGACATTTTACGAAATCTCAAAAGTGACACACATATATCTCGAAGGCTTGACGGTTAGCACACATGTGAAGTTTGAATAGTTTTGGACCATTTACACAGGACTTATAGCAATATCGTGCTTAACGGTGAGGGGTGTGTTGCCTTGGAACAGCTTTTGGGGAAAACTCACTATTGTCATATTGAGGTGTTGAGGGCCAGACCATTAGCCATCATCTGAAGTCTGGTGCCGTTTGGACGATTTTCCATTGAATTAGGAGAACACCGTGTTTCATGGCGAGGGATCTGTCGCCATGGCAACGGCATATGATGACATCCCATAATTCTAGTAGAGCTGTTGAGGGCCGGATTAGGAGACATCATATGAAGTGTGGTGGCGTTTGGAAGATTTTCCATTGAATTAGGAGAACACCGTGTTTCATGGTGAGGGATGCGTTGTCATGGAAACGGCATATGATGACATCCCATAATTGACATAGAGCTGTTGAGGGCCGGACCATTAGCCCTCATATGAAGTCTGGTGCAGTTTGGACGATTTCCCATTGAATTACGACAACACTAGCTTTGTTGGCGAGGGACGCGTTGCCATGGCAACGGCATATGAGGACATCCCATAATTGACATAGAGCTGTTGAGGGCCGGACCATTAATGATAGTCTGAAGTCTGGTGCTGTTTGGACGATTTTCCATTGAATGACAACAACATGGTATTTTTTGGCGAAGGATGCGTTGCCATGGCAACGACATATGATGACATCCCATAATTTGCATAGAGCTGTTGAGGGCCGGAGCGTTAACTGTCATGTGAAGTCTGGTGCTGTTTGGACGATTTTCCATTGAATTACAACAACATGGTCTTTTTTGGAGAATGATGCGTTGCCATGGCAACGACATATGATGACATCCCATAATTTGCATAGAGCTGTTTAGGGCCGGAGCATTAACTGTGATGTGAAGTCTGGTGGCGTTTAGAAGATTTTCCATTGAATTACAACAACATGGTATTTTTTGGCGAACGATGCGTTGGCATGGCAACGACATATGATGACATTCCATAATTTGCATATAGCTGTTTAGGGCCGGAGCATTAACTGTGATGTGAAGTCTGGTGGCGTTTGGAATATTTTCCATTGAATTACAACAACATGGTATTTTTTGGCGAACGATGCGTTGCCATGGCAACGACATATGATGACATCCCATAATTTGCATAGAGCTGTTGAGGGCCAGGGCATTAACTGTCATCTGAAGTCTGGTGCAGTTTGGACCATTTTCCATTGAATTAGGACAACACCAGGTTTATTGGCGAGGGATCTGTCGCCATGGCAACGGCACATGAGGACATCCCATAATTAACATAGAGCTGTTGAGGGCCGGACCATTAATGATAGTCTGAAGTCTGGTGCCGTTTAGACGATTTTCCATTGAATTACGACAACACCAGGTTTATTGGCGAGGGACGCGTTGCCATGGCAACGGCATATAAGGACATCCCATAATTGACATAGAGCTGTTGAGGGCCGGACCATTAATGATAGTCTGAAGTCTGGTGACGTTTGGACATTTTTCCATTGAGTTAGGACAACACCGTGTATCATGGCGAGGGACGCGTTGCCATGGAAACGGCATATGATGACATCCCATAATTGACATAGTGCTGTTGAGGGCCGGACTAGGAGCCATCATATGAAGTCTGGTGGCGTTTGGAAGATTTTCCATTGAATTACAACAACATCGTGTTTTTTGGGGAAGGATGCGTTGCCATGGAAACGGCATACGGTGAGATTTCAGATTTCACGTAGAGCTGTTGAGGCATGGACCGGTGATATAAAAGTGAAGATTGGGGGACGATGGGACCGTGTCCATTGGAGTTACAGCGACAACGTTGTTTATGGCGAAGGATCCGTCGCCATGGTAACGCCAAATTAAGTAACATCAGATTTGACCTAGCGCTGTTCATGGCTGTAGTGTTAACCATCATGTGAAGTTTGGTGGCGTTTTGAGTATGTCAGTTTGAGTTATGACATCATCGTGTTCCATGGCGAGGGACCGCCTAGCATCGAGCGAACGCGAACTTTGGCAACAAATAACGGCTATGCCGTTTGAAAGTTAAAAAAACTACGTGATAACAATTTGCCGCCCATGTCTCGAGATAATACCGGACGAATTTGGAGTCGTTCGGATAAAGTCCCGATCGCGACACAACATTCAAAATGGCCGACTTCCTGTACGTTATTTTATACCCCTCCAAGAGGCTTTTTGGTTCGTCTCTGCACCCTAGATATGCGTAGCGAGTTTCGTTCGTTTACGTGAAAGTTAAAGTAGGGGGAGTTAACGTTAAAAATTGAAGTGGGCGTGGCCTACGCAATTTTTGACGCAAAGTTCCGGAACCAATTACACATTGCAATTTTGTCACGTTTTTACGCGCCTGCAAAATTTAGTGAGTTTTCACATATGTTGCGGAGCTCAAAAGTGCGTTACAAGAGTTCAAATAATAATCAGAAGAATAACAAATAATCGGTCCAATCTCAATAATGTGCGATTTAACATGGAGGTGGGCTACGCCTCACTGTAGGCCGTACGGGCATGATTTAGGCCACTTTTAATGGGCTTTTGCCCCTCTTTTTCCCTGTTTTTGGTGGGTTGTGCATGGTTATCGCTCGCTTCGCGAGCGACTACATTGATCGTAACGATATCAATTATGCGAGTTGCAGTCACGTGGGCTCACGCGGCCTATTAGCCGTCATGATTTCCGAACCTTTTCTGTGATTTTGCCGGTCG